GGGCAACCAAGCCTCCAGCTCCGTGGCTGTCGGACGCCATCTTGGTTGGGTTAATTTGCATATAGTCGCTCTGATTGGCTGGTGGGTGTGGCTTAAGATGTAGCAAAGGTATGGTCAATTTGCATGTTTGTCTTTTATTAGTGTAGATAATATGGAGATAGTACATTTCACAGGGCTGTTATTCCTTATTAAAAACAGGCAAAATGAAGCATTACTCCTTTACTCTCTACCTGCCATGCTTCTCCCATACATCCGTATCTGTTTAGCCTGAACATAAAGTGGCTTTAAAAACTTGCCATAACTTTCTTGGACAATGTGTTTAAAATGATGGGTTGCAATAAAAACCTTACTGATAAAACAGAATAGAAGGTATCTATCACATGGAGTAAAGATAAGTACTGTATGAATTAGGTCACACTGTAAAATATAAGTCAATAGGGTAATGGTTAAAAAAAAAGAAAAAAAATAAACGCTCACTAACTGATTTAGATAATTATCCTATAGGGTCTATTCCAGGGGTGGGCAAACTTTTTGACTCGAGGGCCACAATGGGTTCTTAAACTGGACCGGAGGGCCGGAACAAAAGCATGGATGGAGTGTTTGTGTGAACTAATATAAATTCAAAGTAAACATTATTACATAAAAGGGTACGGTCTTTTTTTTTTTTTTTGGTTTTTTTCATTTCAAACAGGCCAGATCCGGCCCATGGGCTGTAGTTTGCCCACGGCTGACTTAGAACCATAAGGTATATTCTAATTCCATGATACTGATGGTCCTTTTAACTGACTTGAATGTTGGTTTCAGCCAGTGTATGTGAAAGCAGCTATTATACAGAAGTAATTCAAGCTTGGGTAAAGTTTTTATGCCAAAAAGACTATTTTTTCCTCAAAAAATGTTTATTTTAGAGTGAGAACATGTCACTATTATTTTTGAATCCTAGTGCATTCAAGGCAAGTGGTCTTGGTACAATGAAATCATGATACACTTCAGTGATTTTTATACTGAGTCACAGACAATATAAAGGCACATTTGACTGAATAAAAAAATAAGTGTTAAGTTCTTGAGTTTTTAAATTAGAATTTCATAAAGTGCTTTTCATAAAGTCTTATATATTATAGTAATTAAGTGGATATAACTTCCTTAACAAAGGCACCTTGTAAAGTATTGGCACATGGCATTTTGTCTTGCCCATTTTTTTTCCTTTTTGGTAATTTCAAAGTTTCTTCACTTGTCTTCTCTTCCACGTTGTTTAAAATTTCATCTGAATAGCCAGCCCTGTTAAAGAATAAGGTGAACTTTAACTTGACATTTTAAAGGTCAAGTTTTAGGAGTTGAGCAATTTCTCTAGTGTGTAAACTGATTCTTAATGATTTAAAGAAACATTCAAGTGGCAAATTTAGAGCCAACAGACTAATTCAGAGTCCATGATTTGAGGTGGTGTTTCAAATACATATTTTATCTTCAAGGATTTCTGCTGTTTTCTCAGGACCATCTGCATATAAGTTGACAGCTGCCACGGGTATAATATTAACTTTATCCAACTGAAGAATTCCTCTGAAATATAAAAATTAAAATTGGTAGTAAGATAGAGCTACTTCAAGGTTATAATGAAATATATACCTGGGGTTAGGTGCTTTGCTTCATTTTATCTAGTTTATAATGATTGTACAAACTCTTGAGTCCAAAGTTCACTTTAAGCAAACTGAGAAAATATAAAGGTCTAAGAGGAAGTTCCTTACTTGGTACTGTAGGAAAGGAAAGGATTAAGAATAGATCTCCAAGACAGGGAGGTAGAGCCCTAAACTTGCACAAGCTGGGCAAAAAGACTAGGCCCAAGCAGCTTTCTAAACAGTACTCACTGCTTGAATGGAACCTTAGATCTTTAGACAGCATTTCTCCTTTTGCTACTAACATCCCTGACCAGAGGGGAGATCTTTGCATTGGATCCAAGACCCTGTACTGCAAGTTCAATATCATCCTAATCAAACCATCAACAGAAGTTAGTTTATAAAACTGAACAAGCTGATTATAAAGTTTATAGGAGAGAAACTGCAAGAACTGCTGTAACAACTTTTTAGACAGAACAGTGGGGAGAAGAAACAGCTGCCCTAAACAGCTAACAGATTTTATTGAAATATTATAATAATTACAGGGGCTGAGGGGGGCAAAGGGGAGGAATATGACTCACATCTGTAATACTGTCAATAAAAAATAAAAAATAAGAGAATGCAGAATCGTAAGAACAAAGAAAAAAAACATCATAACAAAACTGCCATGGTCATAGGAATAGTTAAATAGATCAGTGGAAGAAGAGAGTCCAGAAACAAGACTAATGTATGCTGGAATTTAGTTCATAGTAAGTTAACATTCCAAGTAATGGGCAAGTTACTACTCTAGCTTAAACTATACACAAAAGTGATGATAAAAAAATAGGTTTTAAGAAAACATGTTTTTTTAAGATAGGAAAGGTCTACTTAAGAACATTAAAAACCCTAGAAGTCATAAAGGAAAAACATGAATTGCTTTCACTCCAAATGTAAAACTTCCATATGATAATGGATACCATACACAAGAGCAAAAGACAAATTGTAGTCTGGGATAAAAAAAAGATATTTCTGCAATACATATTATGGATGTATAACAGACAAAGGAGCCCCTACATATTAATGATTATAAAAGGCAATGCAATTGAAAAAATAGGGTAATGCTATAAACAGACATATCACAGGAGGAATATATATATAGCTAATTATCACAAAGATGCTAGATTTAGCTACACCTAGACTAGCAAAGATGCTATTAAGAAAATTCAGCCTGGCCAGTGTGGCTCAGTGGTTGAGTGTCCCACCTATGATTCAGAAGGTCACAGTTCAATTACTGGTCAGGGCACATGCCCGGGTTGGGGCTTGATCCCCAGTAGGGGGCATGTATGAGACGGCCGATCAAAGGTACTAATCACTGATATTTCTATTTTGTTGTTAATCCTCACCCAAGTATATTGTTCCATTGATTTTTAGGGAGAGTGGAAGAGAGGGAGAGACAGAGAAACATCGATGTGAGAGAAACACATTGATTGGTTGCCTCCTACATGCCCCCTGACCAGGGCCCAGGCCAGGGAGGAGCTTTCAACCAAGGCACGTGCCCTTGACCAGAATCGAACCCGGGACCCTTTGGTCCACAGATCAGTGCTCTATCCACTGAGCCAAACTGGCTAGAACTCATTGATGTTTCTCTCTCCCCCTCTCCCTTCCTCTCTGAAATCAATAAAAATGTATTTTTTTTTAAAAAGAGGAAAATGTAAATTAAAATGGGTTATATTTTTGGCCACACAGCAAAAACTATTACCAGTGTTGAGGAAATGTTAATTACATACACTCTTTCATCCAGTAATTTTATTTTTAGGAATCTATTCCACATAAATATACATGTGTAAAGATATATACATATATTAACAAATGAACACTACAGCATTATTGGAAATAACATGAATGGAAGAAGATATTTGCCGATGATATACCCGATAAGGGGTTAATATCCAAAATACATTAAAGTACTCATAGAGCTTAACACCAAAAAACCCCCACCAAAACCCAAAGACTCCGATTAAAAAAATGG